GACCAATCACAGTCGAATGTGAGAAGAATAATCGACTGTGATTGGTCAATTTCTTACTCTTACTTCTTACTCCGTGTATTGTAGACGACGCCTTAGGATTAAGTTAGCGGCTCTCTGTGCGAGTACCGAGCCGAGCGGAGGGGCGAAGCCCTGGAGAGTACTTGTAATTGCTTCACTACTGTAATTTATCATATTTGCTTCATTACATTCTTTTCAAATATAATTGTTCTTATTATTACGTTTTCGCGCGGTTTATTCTTGTGGCCTATCTCTCTCGCCCTTCGACAAATTTCCCACACCCCTTGTGACCCACCCCCTGCCGTCGCGAAAACGTTACGGGCAAAAGTGAGGAGATTTCGAAAAGAGTGGCACGCTCTCTCGTGCCTGGCGCCCAACTTAGAATAAGAATATAATTTTGGTCGAAAAACCGCCTGGCTGTCGCAAAATTCCGCTACCGAGGGAGATAAGATACTTTTGCGTACTTTAAGTACTGAGAACACGCGACGAAGTTGTGCCGTTGCTCGCGAGTACGGTTACAACATATATAAAATAAAAAGATTTTTCCTTATTAACATTAGAACCAATGATACCATTTTGGCTGCGCTATCATTTACTTTTTTTAAATTAAATATATAGTATAGAATATTAAAAGTATGTGAATAGAAACAATCGTAATGATACGAATAATATCAAAATAACTTTTCATTAACCAAAAACAAGGATAGAAAATTGTATTTTATTGCTACCTTCGGCAGTTTTTGCGGAATATCACTGATAGTCTAGTGTTAGGATGTAAAATACTCAGTCTTTTACTTAAACTTAGTCAATACAGTCACAATAAAATTTAATTTGTACGTACAAAAAAAATCTGTGTCAATTTATTAATACTTAAAGGAACTTAATAAGTTATATTTACTGGTTTTTTGTCGAATTAAATTTTGTTAGTGCATCCAATAGTTTCTGCTGCATCTTGAGTTTTTCCTTATGCATATTAACCCTTTCCTGTCTAAATTTATCAAGCATTTCTAATTTTTTCTCTTCTCGTGTTTTTCTTTCTTCATAATGGACTTTGTTGTCATTTATCAGTTCTTCTAAGAGAACTTCTCTTTTTCTTTTGAGCACTTTAGAAGGAATTGGTGATGACGATAATGATATTGAACTGGAAGATGATTGACTTGGACCAGCTTCTGAAGCCAAATATTTTGGAGAAATCCATGCTCGATTGCCAAAAATATCATTCATATCCTATTAAAAAATATATTGATAAATTAATATCATTTTCAATTTACTTTTAATAAAATCACATGATTTTTCGAAAATACCTCGTAAAATTATCAATTTTTTCTATTATTTTCATATTTATTATTGTGGTCTTTAATATTTTTATAAGTACGTTTTAAACAAGCAATCTTATTGCTGCACTGCATTGCAGTCTTTTGTAGCTTAGGATTAATGTTATTTATTTCTTTGGCAACAGTTTCCCAAAATTGTCCTTGTTTCAATCGTCCTGTTTTTAAGTTACTTTCCTTCTCTTTGTATATTGTCAGAAGAAAACGAGTGTCATTTGGCGCCCAAACCGAAATACTTTTTTCTCTAGAAACATTTTTATAAATTGTATTATAATTAGACTGCGGAACTTTATGCAAAATACTTAATTGAATGTTTTGTATAAAATATATATTTTGCAATTTTGTAAATTTACAGATGGCAATCTCAATCTTTTTACTTCACCTTTTAATAACTTTTTAACGAACAACGATTGACTGCTAAAACTGTCCGATAGTTAATATTCAGTTAAGTATTTTGCATAAAGTTCCGCAGTCTAATTATAATGCATACAAAGATTAGTAATAACATAAAGTTTTTATAAGCATAAAACTTTATCGTACCTTCACATTGTGATAATTGTTCTTCATTTTCCTTTAATTCACAAGCAGTTTGTGTTAAATTATTACTTTCATTAGCTGCTTCAGCTGCTTGCATATTTAATTTATTTAATTCTTTGCTTGTTATTTCTTGTAAATAAGCATGATCTGAAGAAATAAAATAGAATGAAAACTTTTGTATAATTTAAGAAAAATATAAGTCAATTGCGCCTGTATGAGCCTCGGCAGTTATCCATAAATAATATACTTATAAAGCAATAAAATATAATTCGCGAACAACTAGAATAATATGTACTTTCCCGTACAGCACAAAAATATTGCAGCAACATTGCAGAAAGATTTCATTGCAAGATTGCAACATTGCACAGATATTGTGAAATATTGCTGCAATATTTCAGCAATATTGTAGCAACGTTAAAATGTCCGCTTCAGAAATATTTATATGTAATGTTGCAGCAATATTACAATATTATATACATATATGCAATATTACGTTTTGCACACATTTGAAGAATACTTACTGCAATATTACAGAAATATTAATATTGTAAGTAGTAATATTGCAGCAACATTGCTGTAATATTGCAATGTTATTGCAATGTTTGTTGCATATAACATAAAGACATAATGTTGTGCCGCTTTACGGCACGGTTCGGGATCCACAAAGGACTCGGGAGAGGGCT